GGCTGGAATGGTGACAACATGTTGGAGCCAAGTGCTAACATGCCTTGGTTCAAGGGATGGAAAGTCACCCGTAAAGATGGCAATGCCAGTGGAACCACACTGCTTGAAGCTCTGGATTGCATCCTGCCACCAACTCGTCCAACTGATAAGCCCTTGCGTCTGCCTCTCCAGGATGTCTACAAAATTGGTGGTATTGGCACTGTCCCTGTGGGCCGAGTGGAGACTGGTGTTCTCAAACCTGGCATGGTGGTCACCTTTGCTCCAGTCAATGTTACAACTGAAGTAAAGTCCGTTGAAATGCACCATGAAGCTTTGAGTGAGGCTCTTCCAGGGGACAACGTGGGTTTCAACGTCAAGAACGTATCTGTCAAAGATGTTCGTCGTGGCAACGTTGCTGGTGACAGCAAAAATGACCCACCAATGGAAGCAGCAGGCTTCACTGCTCAGGTGATTATCCTGAACCATCCAGGCCAAATTAGCGCTGGCTATGCTCCTGTACTGGATTGTCACACTGCTCACATTGCCTGCAAGTTTGCTGAGCTGAAGGAAAAGATTGATCGCCGCTCTGGAAAGAAGTTGGAGGATGGTCCTAAATTCTTGAAGTCTGGTGATGCTGCCATCGTTGATATGGTCCCTGGCAAGCCCATGTGTGTCGAGAGCTTCTCAGACTATCCTCCTCTGGGTCGTTTTGCTGTTCGTGATATGAGACAGACAGTTGCTGTGGGTGTCATCAAAGCAGTGGACAAGAAGGCTGCTGGAGCTGGCAAGGTCACCAAATCTGCCCAGAAAGCTCAGAAGGCTAAATGAATATTATCCCTAATACCTGCCACCCCACTCTTAATCAGTGGTGGAAGAACGGTCTCAGAACTGTTTGTTTCAATTGGCCATTTAAGTTTAATAGTAAAAGACTGGTTGTTAATAACAATGCATCGTAAAACCTTCAGAAGGAAAGGAGAATGTTTTGTGGACCACTTTTGTTTCTTTTTGTGTGGCAGTTTTAAGTTATTAGTTTTTAAAATCAGTACTTTTTAATGGAAACAACTTGACCAAAAATCTGTCACAGAATTTTGAGACCCATTAAAACAAAGTTTAATGAGAAAAAAAAAAAAAAGAAAAGTACATATCAGAGCCAATATTAGTAGAAGAAATAAAAAGAATCAGAGCATGAATAAATAAAATAAAACTAAAATAACACAAAAGATCAACAAAACTAAAACTTGTTTTTTTGGAAAGATAAAGTCAACAAACCTGTAGCTAGATACACAAAGAAAAAAAGAAAGAGGACTCAAATAAATGGAAATAGAGGTAAAAAAGGAGATATTATAACTGAAACCACACAAAACAAAGCATCATTAGAGAATACTAAGACCAATTATATGCCAATAAATTGAAAAACCTAGAAGAAAAGTATAAATTTCTGGACATATACAACATACCAAGATTGAATCACAAAGAAATAGAAAACCTGAACAAATCAATAATGAGTAACAAGATTGAAGCAGTAAGAAAAAGTCTTCCATCAAAGAAAAGCCCAGGACCTGATGGCTCCACGCTAAATTCTCCCAAATATTTAAAGAACACCTATAATACCAATTCTACTCAAAATATTCCTAAAAACTGGAGAGGAGGGAATACTTTCATTCTATGAGGCTAGCATTACTCTGATATCCAAACCAGATAAAGACACAACAACAACAAAAGAAAACTGTAGGCCAATATTCCTAATGAACACAGATGCAAAAATGCTCAAAAAAAAAACAAAAAACCTAGGAATAAATTAAAAAGATTACACAGCATGATCAGGCAGGATGTATCCCAGGGTTACAAAGGATAGTTCAACATACACAAATTAATTCATAAATGTGGATCCCAACAATAAACAGGAAAAAAACATATGCTTATTTAAGCAGATGCTAAAAAGCATTTGATAAAATTAAACATTTCTTTATGATGAAATCACTCATCAAACTGGATATAGAAGGAACATACCTCAAAAAATAAAAGGCATATATGAAAAACTCACAACTAATATCACAGTGAATGAGTAAAAGTTCAAAGCCTTTCCTCTAAGAAAGAAAATAAGACAAGGATGCCCATTTTTGCCATTTTTATTCATCATTAGTCTTGCTGATATCACTCCTGTCTCATCTGTTACTATGTTACTGTAGTGCTCCATGGTAATTAACTCCCAGTTATACTCTCAAAAACTGCAATAAGAGAGACCAAGAAATCATGGACTTGGAGAGTCTTATTTGGTTCAGGAATCACAATCCAGAGGCCTAGAGTGTGAGAGAATGATAGAGCAGAATAGAAAGGCTGTGCACCTTTTTGTAGGTGGCAACTTGAGGCAGATTTAAAAGAGTGGGACTCAGAAACTCACAGTTCAAACTAAACAAACTGTAATGGCTTTTAAGCTTAGTATAAAAACTGCAAAATAAATAAGATGTTTCTATCTGATGCATTTAAGAGCTTTTTTATAGGGTAGAATTTTTGCTTGTTTGGTTTTTGTCTTTCATAACAGGTCTACTCCATATTTTACAGCCTCAGTGCTGAGCATTACTTGCTAACATGGCAGTGATTTGGATCTTTTCTACACTGTTGCTGAAATGAAGACTGCTGCCCTGTTTTGTTTCTTCTTTTGTACTGACTAGAGGCATGTTGACCACTACTTATTAGCTCTTTGATCTTGCAATTAGCTCATTTGATCCAGCAATTCCACTACTGAGTATCTACCCAAAAGATCAAATGACACTCTACAAATGGGACACCTGCACTCAAATGTCTATAGCAGCACAATTCACAATTGCAACGTTGTGGAAACAACCCAGGTGCCCATCAATACATGAGTGGATTAATAAAATGTGGTATATGTATACTATGGAGTACTACTCACCTTTAGGAAATAATGGTGATATAGCACCGCTTGTATTTTCCTGGATACAGCTGGAACCCATTCTACTAAGTGAAGTATCTCAAGAATGGAAAAACAAGCACCACATGTACTCACCAGCAAATTGGTATTAATGGGTCAACACCTCAATGGACATATAGGAAAAACATTTATTGGGTGTCAAGCAGGTGGGAGGGAAGAGGAGGGAATGGATATATACAAACATAATTGAGTGAGATGTGCAACGTTTGGGAGATTGCCACGCTTGAAGTTCTGACTCGACGGGGAGGGGAGGCAAGGGCAATAACATAACCTTAACATTTGTACCCCTATAATATGCTGAAATAAAAAAAAGAAATTTAAATATTGAATCTCACTGAATTTAACAGAAAAGGCAAGGGGGGGAAATATTAAATAAATTCTTATTCCTTACTTGGTTCAGAGTAGCTCTTTATCAATTTCTCCTCCTTGGCTCTGCCAAAAAAGTTTGGGTCTCAAATGTTGGGGATAATATTTCCTTCTATTGGCACAATAGAAGAACTGTGAACATAGAGAACTGTGACCAGTAACTCATTTCTACAACCTAAGCCTTGGGTTTACTTTTGCTTTCCCTCCTGGTACAAAGTCCAGCAAGCAGTGTGCTTAGCACTGTGCAAAGCAGTTAACACCTTCATGGTCCTCCTTCACCTTTTTCTCCTCCATTGCTGCCACCATGGCCATCGAAGGCCACCGCCACCACCATCACTGTTGCTGCCACCACCCCTACTGCCAGTATCTCTACCACCACCACTGCACCTAAAATTCTTCCTAGTCCTAATGTCTTTATCGTCCCACACAATAGCCCTCTCTTTGCGCCCCTGCCCTCTATCTCTTTTTGTCTAGAAACATCCCAGAAGGCTGAACAATGAAATGTCTACCAAAAGCTGTCCCTTTTAAATACTTTCTTTGTTCCCAGCCACCATGTTCCACATCACCACTCCCCAACCCAGATGATATTTTCTCTAGCAATTTACATTTGCATCTTCATCCTTCTCCAAGATAGAGATGGTAGCCACAGAGTTCAAAATGTCTTGATCTTTTATTCTACCTCTGATGGGAACATCTCTATTCAGAAATGTGACTATTACCCAAACAGTAGATACAGTTACAGTTTTATTTAGTATTCGGGGGAAATAGGATGGGGTGATGTAGGAGAATTGAGGGAACACTTAATTTTAAAATTTTGCTTGGGGCCCGAATTTCAAGCTTAAACATTTTTTGCAGTATCAGGCAAAGCACATAAGCTCTATATTTTAGCTCCTCTGTTCATTCATGGGAAATGACTACATGTTTATCATTATGTGAGAATTAAATTCAGTGTATATTGACATCCTTGAATTAAATACAGAATTATTTATCCACTTCTACAATGCTCAGGTCACAACAGAAAGGACCTAAGTATCTAAGGAAGATACTTTTACCCAGGTGAGAATCTATTTCAACCCTACTGAAATCCCAATTTGGCCTTTAAAGAAAATCCCAAGACCGGGTTCCTTTGAGATTCCAAAACAAAAGAAGAGAGGTGGAATTTACCTGAAGGAGTGAGCATAGAATGTTAGGAAGTGTTCAAGGAAATTAATATCATGGCCTCTTCAATTTGCTAAAACATTTATGTATTGTGTTACTGCATTTTATAGCAAGAATGAAAGCTGATTGCAGTTGGCCCTTTGTCCAGCCAGAGACAGCTTTTCATACCCTGGGCATCCCCCATTCCCTCTTCTTCTCACTAAACAACTGTCATAAAGAATGACAAGAGACAGACTAGGGGTCCCTTTATTATTCCACAGAAAACCTGGATGAGGTTCTCTCTCCTTTCTCTCTCATCTCTCTCATGAGTCTCAAATGATTTCAGTGTCTAGGACTGAACTATAAGTCTCTCTCTGACTGGGATACATGCGTGTTTTTGTTGTATTCACACTGCACTATAAGACAGTAATAAATGTCAGTTGCTAAGAGGATGTGAAAGCAAAAGATTTCCAAAACAGATTTTAAGGACATTCCTGGTTTCTTAAATCAGCGTGATGGAACAGCATGCTTTGCAGATGGTGAGAACATTTTCCCTGACACTTACCTTTCCTTTCTTCAGTTTTGCCCCATCAGTGCAGCAGCTAGTTCTATATCCAAAGGATCTCTCTTTTGGGGGTAATTCTTCCAGGTAAAGAAGTCTAGTGTCCTTATTTGAATATATTTCAAGTAACTACTTTTTACTTCTGTAACCTAAATGTCAGAGGAAAGCAAAAAATAAGTGAAGGTATCAGTTCAGAACAGGGTGGCCCTTTGAGTTCCTCTTATTTGGATGCTCCCAATTTCAAAGGCAATTCTCAAGATTCTGAGCCATAGTACTGTCTCCCCAAGATAAACAGAGTGGTGACTGTAAAGTCATTACTCCATTTGCTGTATATGCCTTTCCTAGACATTGTTCTAGACATTGTGTAAAAAAGTCCTAGTTACCAAATGAGGTTATTCTATTTTAGATACTAAATGCCTTATGTAACCTTCTGTGTTAGCTTGTTCTGTCAAAAATGAGGCAAGAGTTTATTTTTATTGTTGTAGAGTATCATATTTAGGTTAAAAAGGAGATTTACATTCCCTTTATAAAAATCAGTCTTCATTCAAGAAATGCTTTATAAATACAGACTCTAACTTTCCCTCAAGCATTTTAGGGAATAGGTGAATTGAATGGTTTGCCAAAGGCAACAGACCTTCATCAAACAAGGCCAGTGTTCCTCATTCTTGATTCTTCCAAATAATTTCAGTACAGTGGAGCAACCTGGGTCTAGAATTGGGTAGGAAGGAGATAGGGAAGCAAGGGTGTTTCAGCAACCTAGTGAGACAGCCCTACCTACAGAACTCTTGGTATTTTTCTCTGGTTTTAAACTTTATAGTAATTATTTTTAATTTATTTCTCTCAGCATAATCCTTTTTCAAAAAATGTATGAGGACCCCAATATGGAAAACAGATAAAAGCAATATTTTTGAATATATGGTTATTTTGTAAATATTTTTAATTTTTTAAGACTTGCTGCTAAAGTTAATCAGTAAAAAACACCCATTAACATGTCAATGGCTTTCATGATGCTAAAATGTTGTATTTAACATGTTAATTATGCCTTTTGGTTTTCTAATGATTTTGTTAAAATTCGGTTTTGTAGTGATATTCAAATCAAATTTTTATAAAGCCCTTTGAAAAGTACCTGTCTAGTTAGGGTCAAACACAAGCAAGAGAAATTCAATGGTGAAAAAGAATGGTGTGTCTCACTGTCTATTTCTCACATAGAAAATTTTCCCCAACATTTTATCAGTAAATAAATATAGAATAAAATTATTCTCATTACAGAAGGATTTCTCATATTACAAAAGAATCACAGAACACCCTTATGTGACATTTTTAAGTGTGCTCATAAATGTTTAAATATTCACCAGAGAGGGTTACCTATTAACCAGAAATTAAAACAAATCTGAAGTTATAAGACAAAATTAACAGGTGGAATCACCAAAATATGATAGTTATAGAAATTCCCTAAAAGGAGGTGCACGTTTAATTGCTTTAAGTGGGTTGTTTTTATTCACTGGTTTACATTTAAGTATGCAGGTGAGGACACTGATGTCTCTGACCCACTGCTGAGATGTACTTGTGAAATGCAGCCAGCTCATGTCCCAAAGGAAAGGGGCATCACCTAGAGCTCAGCACTTATTAGGTACCAAAATGCTTCTCGCAATTTCCACTTGCAATTTGATCTCTCAGGAAAAGAGGTCATTGTGTTTAATAAAAACAAAGCGGGCTTGGTTCATGGGCCTGGTCAACACCTGTGTTTCTGCTTTCATGCACTGTTTTAGATCTCCGATGTGAAGACAGGTCTGTGCAATGTTTGCGAGAGTCAAAGCCATCCTTCCATGGACTTGGGCCTCTTCTGGGTCTCACTTGAATGCCCATTCTTGTTCACCTGGAGAAATAAAGGGCTATATCAAATTGAAAGCCAATGATTTTCTTATGCCCACATGTTTTCTTTTGATGATGAATATTTTTTAAACCACAAGTCCCTATTAAATACTTTGATGTGATTCATAAATAAAATGTAATCTAAAAACATAAAACTTAAGTCTGTACAACTGAATCACAGACTTAAAACTGGTGCAAGTAGATCTCACACACATGTACATTTGCATTTGGAGAATAATGTAATTATTGTGGGTCTTTTCTGTTTAAGGTTTTGAAGTAAGTCTTCTGCAAGGTGGGTGGTTGTAAGGTCTCTCTGACATATGTTGTTAAAACTCCAAAGTATGAAAAGAAAGAAGCGTCAGAACTACTTTCTTATGACCGGGCGCGGTGGCTCACACCTGTTATCCTAGCACTCTGGGAGGCTGAGGCGGGCGGATTGCTAAAGGTCAGGAGTTCAAAACCAGCCTGAGCAAGCGTGAGACCCTGTCTCTACTATTAATAGAAAGAAATTAATTAGCCAACTAATATATATAGAAAAAATTAGCCAGGCATGGTGGCACATGCCTGTAGTCCCAGCTACTCAGGAGGCTGAGGCAGCAGGATTGCTTGAGCCCAGGAGTTTGAGGTTGCTGTGAGCTAGGCTAACACCATTGCACTCACTCTAGCCTGGGCAACAAAGTGAGACTCTGTCTCAAAAAAATTTAATTTAATTTAATTTAATTTAATTTAATTTTAAAAAAATAAAGTGTTTGTTAAAAAAAAAAAAAAGAACTACTTTCTTATTTCTGATTTGGTACATTTTGACCTCCTTAGATAGGAGAAGTAGATTGAGAGCTGAGGCCCAGTCATTATGAGCACATAGAGAGCTCAATCATTAGAACAATAATTCAAGAAGCAGGAATTAATGAGGTTGTGGCTGAGATCTCGCTAGGATTCTAACTTTAAATTGGGGTGGCAGGAAGAGTGGGGGTCACAAAAGGCTCCTCTGATGTCATTGAAGATCCACGCTCAGTACATGCTGCCCTCACACTCTCAATTCATCACCACACTGCCACTTAATCCTTGGCACTTACTGACTCAATATTAAAGGTAGGTAGAAAATACTTTGAGGCCACAATATGATGCCTTTTTTATAAGATTTTCCATGCTTCCCCTCACTTCTATTTCTTCCACATTCGAAGGCCACCTCTTTAGTCTCCGTTAAGCTTACCTTATAGAATACCCCAACTGGTAGTAATTGCCCCAAAAGAGTAACTTTCCCCATTTGCTGGTGATTTGGGGGTCTTTAAGGCATTCAAAGAAAATCTCTTTCCTTGGAAATCTTTTTTCTCCATATCCTGGCTGGAATCTTCACTCATATGTATTGACCCCTTCCTACCATTGTAATATGAAGTGATCACCAGGTATACAAATTTGATTTGTTTGTTTGCCTTTTCAGGGTCTGCTACTGCTGTTCTTGTTTTAGACAGGGTCTCCCTCTGTTGCCTAGGCTAGAATGCAGTGGCATCATCGTAGCTCACAGCAACCTCAACTACCTGAACTCAAGCATCCGCTTGCCTCAGTCTTCCAAGTAGCTGTGAGACAGGCATGCACAACCACAGCCAGTTAATTTTTCTATTTTTTATAGAGACAGGGTCTCACTATGTGGCTCAAGCTGGTCTTGAACTCTTGGCCTAACACTATCCCCTCGCTTCAGCCTCCCAATGTACTAGGATTACAGGCATGAGACACCACACTCGGCCACAAATCATTATATTAAATGGAAAGGCAAACAATGAAGCACCATCTTACATGAATCTTTTCTAAATTATCTTCCACGAAATATGAATATGAGACCCTCAAAACAATGGATCAAGGGGCAAATAAATTAGAAAAATACAACATATTATTTTTCTCCTTTAGTTAGTTACAGGGCACATTAAAACTTTAAAGATTCTTAAAAATAAAACTTTAAAGATTCTGAAAAAAATTTTAAGATTCTAAGAAGTCCTACATTAAAGATACTTGTAATCTTTGTTAATTTCATGTAGTACATTGTTTTCCAAATTGTCTCAACAATTCACAGAACATAGCTAAGAAAAGAAGATGGCAGACGAGAAACACCGCCAGACAAGAGTGTCTCTGCAGAAAAGACAGATTCTAGAAGAAATTAGAAGAAAGAAGCAAGCAGACGAGCATACATCCGACGAGGGTCAGAAGGAGGGGTACCTGAGACCACGGGAGACTCCATGGGAGGAGGTTGCGGAGGAGAACTGGAAGCAGAGACCTTCAGAGTAGCCCGGAGAGCAGTGGCAAGGGTAGGTTGAGTGGTTAACTTCCCCCTCCCTTGCATCTCGGACTGCTGGTGGGCTCCCCAGAGGGTGGAGAGACCTGTGGACACCAGCCCAGAGACAGCCACCACGAGTGAGTGGTAAGCCAGTAGTGGACACGGCACCAGGCTCCCAACTCCCTTGGGGCACCTTCATTTGCACAGACCCGAACCGCACTGCAGGCGCCATATTGCTCCATACTCACAGCTCCAACCCTATCTGCAGCTGCCAAGAGAGACGATATAGCCACCAGCCAGAGGCATCTCCAGTGAACAGGACCTTCCCTTTTGGGGCCCAACACTTGCCTGAGGGGTACTCAGACGGCAGCTCCCTACCTGCCAGCACTCTTATGTTCCGCTGGCCTGGTGATTCCAGGAGAACAGGGCAGACCTTGAGGCTGAAAGACATCAACCCAGCTTGGGGTCCCCGTGGGTGAATTAAGACTGGCACTCCTCTCCCTGGTTGGGTTAGGGATTGAACTCCAGGGCCCAGAGGTCAGACCTGCGGACCAGATCCCGTGCAACCAGGTCTCACATTGCCTGGGGCACAGAAGGGATATACGTGACCAGCCTACTGAGGTGTGTGTGCCTTCAAGGGCAGATCAGCATCCTTGAGGGCAACCTTCCTCCCAAAGGGGTGCTGTGAGCCCAGCCCAGGCTGTGATCCTGTGCAGGGAACCTCCCAGTGGCATCACAGCCAGGAGAGGCCCTGTGGTGTGACCTCTGGCCTGCTGGCAGAGGCCCAGGAGGAGCTGTGGAGATGGGAGAGTGGAAGAGAGTGAGGCCCACTCCAGACTACTGGTCTCAGACGGCCCTACCCCCACACACAGACTTTCTGACTGAGTGGGGCCATTCTAGCCCTTCCCTGACAGCTTTTCCCGGAAACAGACAACAGAACTTTGAATCATGCAAACAGCATTTGTGGTGCCTCAGGGAAGTCCTTACCAACCCAGCTCCCCACCAGACTCACTCCCAGACCAACCCTCACTGAGGTGGAGAATAAGGACACACCTGAAAGTCCCAGAGCCCCACCAACCACCTAAGGCACCAGAGTGCCTCTCCAGAGAAACAAGAACTGGATATAAGACCCAAAAACAACAGTGTAGCCTGTTCCTCCCAGCAAGTGCCACCTACCTACAGGGAAGACATTCTTCACACCCTTTTCATGGTACCTACTGAATCATCATACAGGGTGTGGTCGAATCGCACCCACAAATACCACCTACTGCCTCAGAGACTAAACAGGGCGTCTCATTACCCAAACAAAACCCTAAAGATAAGAAACAACAACTGATCCAGATGGGAAGACATCAGCGAAGGAACTCCTGAAATATGAAGAATCAAACAGAAAGCACACCCCAAAAGAGGAGCACCAGCCCCTTAGAAATGGACATCAACCAAAATCAACCACTAAAATGATAGAAGAGGAATTTCAAACGTGGATTGTAAGAATTCAATGACTTCCAAGAACAACTGGATAACCAACATGAAGAAAACACAAAAAGATTCCAGGACATGGAAAAAAAATTCACTAAAGAAATTGAAACAATGAACAAAACTCTAACCAACTCCTGGAAATGAAGAAAAAATTCAGAAAACTACAAATCAGAGCAGAAAGCCTCAAGAACAGAGTAGATCAAACAAAAGAAAGAATCTCAGAGACTGAAGATAACACCTTCCAATTAATCAGTGACAGAGATAGAGCAGAGAAATAAGAGAAAAGAGCAAAGCCTACAAGAGATGTGGGATTATGTGAAGAAACGTTATGTGAGGGTCATAGGGTTACCAGAGGGGAAGAAGAAAATACTCAAGGGTTGTACAAGCTATTTGAAGATATAATAGAGGAAAATTTCCCAGGCCTTGCTCAAAATCTCAATATACAAGTTCAAGAAGCTCAAAGGACCCCTGGGAGATTCAATGCAAACAGAAAGACATCACGACACGCAGTCATCAGACTGACCAAAGTATCAACTAAAGAGGCCCTTCTAAGAGCTGTAAGACAAAAGAAACAAGTAACATACAAAGGAAAGCCAATCCGAATTACACCAGACTTCTCTACTGAGACTTTACAAGGAAGGAGAGACTGGGGCCCCATTCTCACTCTTCTGAAACAGAACAATACCCAGCCTAGAATCTTATTCCCTGAAAAACGAAGTTTTGTATATGAAGGAGAAATCAAGACATTTTCAAATAAGCAAAGACTGAAGGAATTCACCAAGACAAGACCAGTCCTTCAAGAAATATGCAAAACAGTATTACGCATGGATCAGCACAATAAACACTCATGAATGTAAATCTACTCAGAGCTAAAGATCAAAGCCCAGATACCACAATGGCTCAAAAGAGAAAACAAAGCAACAAAGTTCAACCCAACATAATGAACAGAAATCTGCCCCACCTATCACTTACCTCAATAAATGTGAATGGCTTGAATTCCCCACTCAAGAAACATAAGCTGGCCAAATGGATAAAAAAAAATACAAGCCAAGTATCTGCTGCCTTCAGGAAACACATATAACCTGCAAGGATGCAATTAGACTAAAGGTAAAGGGGTAGAGAACAATATTTCAAGCAAACGGAAGCCAAAAGAAAGCTTGCGTGACGGTGCTGATTACGATAACTTAGTTTTTAAATCAACAAAAGTAATAAAAGACAAAAAAGGTCACTATATAATGGTGAAGGATACAGTTCAACAAGAAGACATAACAATTCTAAATATACATGCAACCAACCTAGGTGCACCCAGATTCATAAAGCAAACTCTACTTGACCTAAACAAATGGATAAACAACACTACCATAATAGTCAGAGACTTTAACACCCCCTCATATCACAGGACAGATCCTCCACAGAAAATCAACAAAGAAATAAAGGACTTAAACAGAACTCTAGAACAAATGGGCCTGACTAACATTTACAGGACATTCTACCCCAAAACCACTGAATATACGTTCTTTTCATCAGTTCATGGGTCATTCTCTAAGATTGACCATATCCTAGGACACAAAGCATGTTTCAAACAATTTAAAAACATAGAACTCTTTTTCTATTTGTGGTCTGAAAATAGTATCCTTTCATACCACAATGGAATAAATGCAGAAATCAATTCCAACAGGAGTTCTCATTTCTACACAAAGTTGTGGAAACTAAACTACCTTCTGCTGAACGATCACTTCATAAACAAGCAAATCAAGATGGAAATCAAAAGATTCTTTGAACTAAATGACAAAGGAAACACAAGTTATCAAAACCTGTGGGACACAGCTAAAGCAGTCCTGAGAGGAAAGTTTATTTCCATAAATGCCTATATCTAAAAGTCAAAAAGATCATAAACAGATGGCCTAATAAATCATCTCAAAGAGTTGGAAAAAGAAGAACAGACCAACCCCAAACCCAGCAGAAGAAGTGAAATCATTAAGATCAAATCAGAACTAAACGAAATTGACAAAAGGGAAACCATACAGAAGATTAATAAAACAAAAAGTTAGTCCTTTGAAAAGATAAACAAATTTGACACACCATTGGCTAGACTAACAAAAAGCAGAAAAGAAAATCTCTAATAAGCTTCATCAGGAACAATAAAGGAGAAATTACAATGGATGTCCTGGAGATACAAGATATAATTTATGAATACTACAAAAACCTCTATGCACACAAACTGGAAAATGTGGAGGAAATGGACAATTTCTTTGAAACACACAGCCTCCCTAGGCTCAACCAGGAAGAAATAGAATTCCTGAACAGACCAATATCAAGTACTGAAATTGAAAAACCAATAAAAGCCTTCATAAAAAGAAAAGTCCTGGACCAGATGGTTTCACACCCAAATTTTACCACACCTACAAGGAAGAACTGGTGTGGGGGGCTGATTTTGGCATCATGCCTTATACTAATCATTCACTATAACCTATAATGTACGTGTGCTGCATGACGCAGCGGTAGTCAGCATTTTTTTTAGACACAGTTGCTGCCTCGTGACATGACAAGAGATCTGAGTTTATGCATATAAGTAAATGTTGCCCAGCTCCCACACGGTGGGCCCCCGTGGTGGGAGTCTGGAGGCCATAAAGATAAGAAGAACATTCCCAAGGCCTGGCCCCGTAAGATGGTTGGTAATCAAAGATGGGTAAGACTCCTCAAGGGAGGGCAACCTAAGACATACACAACCGTGGGGTCCGGCTGCTGGCTGGGATAGAGCTGCTAGCTAGGAAAGAAAACAAGAAGTTCTTCAGATGGCTGCATTGCTTTATGTTGCTTATCTCGGCCTTGGC